TAATATTTATATCACAAAGTTGTCTTAGGTATAAAATTGAATTAATATGTTTTATTTGCTTGGCACAATGCCTGGTACACACTTAGCACTCAATTTATGGAAATGGCAGTTTATTGACCTCAGTGGATCTTCATTATCTCCATCTACATCTTCATCACCACCACCACCATCACCACCATCATATTTACTCCAGCCAGAGAGTGGCTTGGGCATAACTAATATAGGAAATAAGATTATAAGTTAAATTATATAACTTTATATACTTGTTTCAGAGTATGTAAAGAACTCTTACAACTTAACCATAGAATGAAAAATAACCCGATTAGAAATGGGAAAAAGATTTGAATACATATTTTTCCAAATAAATTCTGCAAATGAATCATAAGCACGTGAAAATGTGTTTACCATTATTAGTCATCAGGGAAATGCTAATTAAAACTATAATGAAGTACCACTTCAAATCCACTGGGATAACTATAGTAAAAAAAGACAGTAACAGATAGTATCAAGACTTAATGAGATTGGTGAGAAATTTGAGCCCTCCTACATTGCTGTTGGAAATATAAAATGGTGCAGCCATTTTGGAAAATATTTACATTTCCACGAAAATGAAGCAGAGAGTTGCCATATGGGACAGCAATTTTTCATAGGTACACACCTAGGAGAATTGCGAGCACATGTTTACAGAAAATCTGTACATTAAAGGACATAGCAGCATTATTCATAATAGACAAATATTGGAAACAACCCAAATGTCCATCTACTGATGAATAGATAATCAAAATGGGTATGTCCATACCACTGAAGTATAATTTGGCAATAAAAAGGAATGAAATACTGATATATGCTACAATTTGGTTTATTTTATGGATTTATTATGCTAAGTTAAAGAAGGCAAACACAAAGGAACCCAGATGGCATAATACAACTTATATGAAATTACAGAGTAGGTAAATCGGTACAGACAGAAAGTAGACTAGTGGTTGCCAGAGGCTCAAGGAGGGAAAACACGGATTGACAACAGATTAAAAGGAGTTTTGGGGGGACGTGACTAAGATATTCCAAACCTAGATTGTGATGTTGATTGTACACCTGTGAAAATACTGTTAGGCTTAAAGAATTCACCCCCAAACTTCCATCCAAACCTCCTATAAAGCCCACCCCTCTCCTCTTCCTAGAGGGGTATTAGGCAAGTAGAATAGGGTAGCCTCTCCCTGAACCCTAGGGACATAAAGAAATGGAAAGCAAGAGGGAGTTTAATTTCCTTATCTATCCTGGTTATTTGAAAAGAATTTATTTAGTCCCCCCAGAAAAACCTTCTATAAAACCCAAACCTCTCCCCTTTTCTCTCATGGACGGCTTTTTCAGCCTCCACCCATCTGCACCCAGATGCTCAAAATAAACAGCATTTTGCTACACCTGAGGCTTCATGTGTCTCTCTTAGCTCCAGACCTAACACTAAGGACTACTGAATGTACACTGTGAAAGTGTGAATTTTATGGTATATGAATTCTGTCTCAATAAAGCTATTTTATTTCATTATTATTATTTGTTAAATTGTAAAGAGATTTATTCTGAGCCAAATTTGAAGACCATGAGCCAGAGCCATGCCCAAGAAGCCTTGAGCAAGTGGACTCACTGTGGTTAGTTAAAGTTTGGTTTTATAGATTTCAGGGAGACAGGGGGTCAGGTATAGTCATATGGAAGGCATACATTCAGGAAAAGTCAATACAGGGAAGGCATACATTGGTTTGGCCATAAAAGATTGGCCATCTCTAAGCAGGAGTACTTACAGGTTATAGGTGGGTTAAAAGATTCTTTGACTTGTAATTGGTTAAAGACAGGAAGTTTTGTCCAAAGGCTTGGAATGTTAAGGTAAGTAAGCCTATAAATCAGAGACAAATTAACAGGACACATATTTGTTTTGTAAATTGTGAACCTGAAGGTTTGTTTTGCATAGCCTTAGACCTGTTAATAAGTTGCAAAGGATATCTCCAAGAAGGGGGGGCGGGGCATGATGAAGCATGTCTGACCTCCCTCCTCCTGGCAGGCAATTTGATCTTAGGATATCCCCTTGGCCAAGAGGGGGTCCATTCTGTCAGCTGGTGGTGGAGGGTAGTGGGGAAGCCTTAAGATTTTATTTTAGTTCACAAGTCCCTTTTTAGGCCATGATCTGGCAGAGGCAGCATCTATGGCCAAACTCTTATTTTGTCCCACCTGAGACTACCTGCCCAGGGTCCATCCAGTCCCTCGGTGGAACCCTGTGACCAAGAGGACTGAAGCATCCAAAGGGCTTACAACCAATTAAATGTTTCAGGTAAGACAGGACTGGAGGTAGAGGAGCGCTCGTCAACCCTTTAAAAGCTCGTAAGCAACATTAGTATGAAAACCAAAATGTCAAAGGCAAGGCTACAAAATTAATTAATCTACAAGTGTGGAACTACCATATTCGTGGGTTTAGTGGTAGATTTGTAGCAGACATAAGCATTGTCAACCATTCACTAAGGGAATTTAGAGACTTTTATTGTGTCACAATATTTTAGCCACTTTAGTAATTTATACTAAAGTGGCTGATAAATTACTTGTTATATCTCCTTTTGTGTAAGCCCATAACTGAGAACAACTATACTCAGGAAGTTATTTAGTTTTCTTGTGCCTGCACTGCCATTGGATGCTGGGTGACAGAGAGAAATGGTCCATTTGTTTATTTCATAATCCACTGAACCAATAGGAGCCATATGAAGACATGGTAGAGAGAATTTCATGTGATCCAGAAACCCTAGATTTTGAGCTGGGTGGGATTATGCAGTTTCTTCCTTGGGGATTTGTGTTCTGCTTCTGAGACAAAAGGAGTGAGTGAATGGATATTTGAGGACCCAAAGAGTAGACTATGGGAGGAGCTTGAAGACCTTACCAAATCTGTGTTTTCCTCTTCCTTCTTGGCACACCGGTAAACTACATTCCTTGACTTTGTAAGGTAGATAGTGTCATGTGACCAAGTTCTACCAAGACAAGAAGCACCAAAGGGATCTACACCATTTCTGCTTTCAGGTGGCTAAGTGCAGTACTACCTTCTCCATACTCAATCCATTTCTCTGCTCTTGTGCCTGAACTTAGAGGAGGACAAGGTGCTAAAAGATGATGAGACCATAAGAGAGGTAGGACCTGGGTCTCTTTATGACTGCATGGAACAAAGACCTTACTAACCCACGTAAGACTAGCACATGCGTGAGAACAACAATGTAGGGGGTGTTTTTAGTAGAAGCTAAGCTATGCTGACCAATACATTAAGCATGATTAGAACACATTTTTGCTTGGTTGGTTAATTGGTTTTGGTGCTAGGAGGCACCATTTACGGTGAGAGTAGATTTTACCTACCAATTAAACAACAAAACCCTTAGAATAATAAGATTTTTAGGGTAAACATTTTTCAAATAGACTTCATAATTTTAAAGAATACAGCCTGGTAAAAATGTCATGATCAAAAGTATCACAATGTCTTCAGCTATTCCAAAGGTTCATTGTTTTTTTCATTATTTCATTTTCTAACCTAAGAAAAATTTCTCTTATACTGCTGTAGGACAATTTTCTTTGTCTCTCTGTATAAAAAAGGAACATACCTTTTTTTTTTTTTTTTTTTTGAGATAGAGTCTCGCTTTGTTGCTCAGGCTAGAGTGAGTGCCATGGCGTCAGCCTAGCTCACAGCAACCCCAAACTCCTGGGCTCAAGCAATCCTCCTGCCTCAGCCTACCAAGTAGGTGGGACTATAGGCATGTGCCACCATGCCCGGCTAATTTTTTCTATATATATATTAGTTGGCCAATTAATTTCTTTCTATTTATAGTAGAGACGGGGTCTCGCTCTTGCTCAGGCTGATTTCGAACTCCTGACCTTGAGTCATCCGCCCCCCTCGGCCTCCCAGAGTGCTAGGATTACAGGCGTGAGCCACCGCGCCCGGCCAGGAACATACCTTTAATACAAGTGTATGTACATACATATGAATACACTGTTCATAATTCTGTCTCATTTCATTTCACCCTATTCATTTTGATACTCTAGGAAGAGACTGTGGGTGGGTTTTCCAGTCCTCACTTCTTGTGGTTCACACATCACTATACATGAAAGAAACAGTTTCCAACCTGGATCAGACTTTGTGTTACTCTGTGAAGAGCCCAGACCCAGTGTGTGTGGGGTGTATGTGTGTTTGAATGAGGTGTCGGCTGGGGAGTGAAATGCACCCCTGTAGAACACTGCAAATGCCCCTGGCAAGCACTGTCAATCCTCCTCATCTTCTTTCTGGCCCAGAGTGGGCACTCTGACATTGGAAAAGCCTGAAATATGAGGAGGAGTCTGTGAGTGAGTCTTTGGGTGCATTTGGAAATCTGCGTTGTGGGTATGATGAAGAAATGAGTGAGAAAGAGTAGATTTGCATAGGTAGGAACACCACTTGTTGAAATAAACAGGAATCATCTCAATAAAGCAGCAGTCTGGAAGGCAGATTTGGGGGCTGGGCATTCAGGGGGAGCAGGCCAGAGTCAGCTTGGACAGGTGCTAACTAAACTCTGGCATGACTCACGGAGTGGCAGGAGGAGAGCCTGGCTCTAGTCCTGGATGCGAAAGCAGCAGCCTCTGAGTGGCATTGCATGACCTCTCCTGGCAGCCCAGAGTGCTCGCTGGCGGAAGCCCCCCATCCCAACTGGTGCAAGACCAGATACCTTGTGGGGAAAGCCCTTCCTCACCAGTCTCCATACACAGCTCTTGCATCATATGGGAAAGGAACCAAGTTATAGAGTCAATGACACACACAGTCAGGAGTGGAACTGAAAGTGAATTTAATAAGGGGGGACATAATAGAGCTGCATCACTTGTTTCCACCTCTAGTCCCTCTTCAGATGAGTTCTGAGCAGCTGAAAACCAGCTCTGGTATGAAGTCTTTCAGCTTATTTCAGAGGCTCAGAGTATGTAGGAAGGAAAGCCTCATAGCACATGTTTTTGGGTGACAGCATGCTCATTGCAAAGTCAACAGGCAAATGGGACTCAGAAGCAGAGTGTGATGAGGGCTCAGCATCCAGGGATCATCTCCTCAAGGGCATGGCTGTGCACCACGTCACTTCTGCTTTGTCTTTTGCTGGGAGGGTGCTGGAGTGACCGTTGAGGGGCAGGGCTCAGGCACCTTGGGGTGGCAGGGCTCAGGCACCTTGGGGTGGCAGGGCTCAGGCACCTTGGGGTGGCAGGGCTCAGGCACCTTGGGGTGGCAGGGCTCCTGGGGTGGAGGCTGGCAAGGCTGTTTCACCTGCTGCTGCTCAGGCTGAGGCGGTGGGGCGCAGGGCTGCTTCTGCTGCTGGGAACTCATGCTTCAGCGGTGGTTGGTCCTAGAGACAGAATAGATGGTTTAAAGGAGGATTAACTAGGGAAGAAACAAAGCCACTTCACGTGTCTTCAAAGAGAATATTCTTTCTACCTCAAAGAATATTTTGATGATTTCTAAACCTTTGAAGAGAATCCACTTAAAGATGATTTGCTCTGCTCCACTTAAGCCGGGCCTCTTTTGTGTTCTCCTTCTTTCTACACACTGTAATACCAAATTAGCAACATAGCACCGGCTCCTAGCAGGAACATGAAACTCACAATATTGGATCCTTTGGAAATGTGATGTTATTTGGGGAATAAACCCAAAACTTCAATTCACTTACTTATTTCTGATAAATGGCACGGCTTATCACCTACAGGATAACTTGGAGCACTCTAGAACTCCACATGATCCTACTTCTAGCCTGGCTCACGTGCTCTTCTGTCTCCAAAGCTTTTCTCATTTCCGCTTGTTCAGATACCACCCAACCAACACAGATCATTTCATGTCGTAGTGTTGGTAGCTTTTCTAGAGTGAGTTTCCAGAAATCTCCTCTGTCTCCTCAAATTGCTATCACACTTGCCCTTGTGACCCGGCACTGATAACTTACAATATTGTATTATATAACTTACTATATTGTATTTTAACTCCTATTCTCCTGAAAAAATTATAGTTTTTGTAGTAAGTTTCGTGCTGCCTAAATTATTTCTTCACAGCCAAAGTGCCCAATATGGTAAATTCTCACAAAAGAAATTTTTGAGAGAATAAAATTCTCTGTATTAAAATTATGAATAAAAATATTTATGGACTTGGTTTCTCTGTTCCTAACTCACTTTGAATCCTTACGGAAGCCAGTCCCCTCTCACTGACACAGCAGGAGTGAATAGGGCAGATCCAATAATGCCTAACGTCCCTTGAAGCCCACACCATGGTAACTTTTAAAACAAAGACATTCCTAGAGGCTGTAATTCCAATGTACGGTCTCTATGGCTATGACTGAATTTCCCTAAGGAGGGAAAGAAGACATTGGTAATGCCAATGAGGCTCTAATAACCAAACGCCTAGAACGAAAGGTAGAAAGTCCCAAGTAAAGAGACTCACCTGGTGTGCAGAGACGAGCAGGCTGTGAGGTCGCTGGTTTGTGGTGTGGTGTCCGCGCCAACTGGCCTTTTATGCAGGGAACAAGCCCTGCCTCAAGGAAATGGGATCCTCTGGGGCTGCTGGGTGATTCCTCACTGTCAGACATGATTCACCTCTTCTCTCATCCACCTGTTGACTCACGTTTTGTGATGAAACGACCCACTTGATATTTTTTTGGCACCTGCTGTCTCAGAGAGATGTCACCTGGGCCCTAACCCCAGTCACACCCTTTGCAACCAGGTGCAGTGTGTACAGGGAGTGTGGTGTGGGCTGAAAGAGCAAGAAGGAAGAAGTTTTAGGCTATCAGAACCAGAAAGAGTCCTATTTTCTGGAAGGCCCTAATCCTTAGCACAGGTGAGGTTTGTTGAGGTGTTTAATATTTGAAGCAGATGTGGAGATGTACAATGGGTGTTTCTAGTTGTACTGGGAGGCCAAGGACATGGTGGCCTGAATTGTCCCAGGTGAAAAATAGTAATAATTCTGTTCATCCATCATTCAGTATTCCCAGGCTTGGAAGGAGATAGGAGAAGCTAACATGAATCTTTTTTCCTTTTTTTCCCTAAAAGGCCTTCTCTCCCAGAAAGGACTCAGAGTCAACTGCAGAAGAGCAGGGGGACATCAGCCAATAAGGAGGAGTGCCCATCACTGACACTATGGGGGGACAGACTTAGCAGCTCCGAAGCCACCTGGCCCTTCCAGCCCACCCTCTTGTCCTGTCTAATGTGACAGCAGGCTCTGAAGACCCCGCCTCTCATGGGGATCCCTTCTCTTGGCCACCATAGGAACAAGAGAGCTGGGATGACACCGAGGTCACTAATCCAGGCTTGCCTGAAATTCACAACCTGTTACAGTGTGGTCTTTGGAGAATGGAAAACTCCCTTCAAATCCAGGTGTTTGGATGGTCCCTCCTTCATCATTTTGCTCACCCCAATGCTTGTGGGGTACCTGCTGGCTCCACAGCTGTGTCACCTCCCACTGGCTTCCCAGCCCTTGTTCTACCCTCCATCTCCACATGGTGCCTGGGGTATAGTAGCTGCTCCGAGAATTGACAGTTACACAGTAAATGAATGAAGGGATGTCTAGATGGATGGTGTTCTTTGTGCAGAGACACCAGAGGCTGCTATGAGAACCACTAGGGAGATTCTTATGATGGAAATGTTTCCTTGTGACAAGCCTAATGGTAATAGCTGAGAGGAGCAGGAAGGGCTCAGCAAGAGCCAGATGCTTCTGTTACTTCCCCTGCCATCTGCTTCTGTCGCTGCTAGAGTTTAAGTAGTCACCTCTCTTGGGGCTGGGGCCACTGACGCCTCCATGTCTGAATTCAAGCCCTCTTGCATTACTTTACCTTGGCTCTAGGCTTAGGTACAAGCCTCTCTGGAACCTCCCACCTCGTCCCCCGCCCCCTGCTCCACAGGACCTGTGGACTCCTCAAGGGGAATTCCAAGCCTTGCTGAGGACATGATGGGATTCTCAGACCTAAGGCAACCTGCATTCTGCTTCCCAGTCCTCCATGCCACCAAGCTAAGGACCTGGCTGACTGTAACCTCCACTCTGAGTCTTGGTCCCTGACCCTCATGTCTTTTCTTGACCCACATTCCTTGGTGCCATGGGGACTTTCATTCAATACTCTCTCTTCTTTGCCCTGATGTACCTACCTGACTCCTTTCCCTGTATCAGCACTGTTTTTTCATTCTAACTTCTGGAATTTGTCTTTTTACTCCTGCTGTTTTGCCTAAAGCACACTTGGCAATGGGAGTAAAGGCTCCCCATCCTCCCTTTTAAAAAATCATACAGGGAAGCTTAATTTCTTTACCAGTGATGTCGGATTAGTCATGGATTTGCAGCATGAAGCAATATTGCTGCTGATTGCAGCTAACATCTCTCTCCACATGCCTCTGATTTTCCTGTAGATGTCCTTCTCAGCATAAGATGCTGTGAATTTTTTCATATCAAAGCTTGAGCTTTCTTGAACTTGTTGCTTAACTGTACCTGACATATCTTGGACATCCCTACAAATCTTGTCTGCTATATCTTCTATCCATATACTGTCTCATGACCCTTTTCATGTAGGTGTGGACGGGATTTGCACAGGAACACTTGAAAAAGTTTCTCTGCAGGACCACACCGTGTAACGCTCTCTTCCTGATCCCAGGATTTTATGATACCACAATGCAAGACACCTGTGGAACACAGTATGCTCTATAGTCCGTGAACATGGGATGCCTCTCCATTTATGTTGATGTTCTTTAGTTTCTTTGACCGTTTTTTATAGCCTTTATTTTGGACATGTTTTGTCTGCTTAGGTAAATTTTTTCATAAATATTTTATTTTTTGATGGTATTTTAAATGCAATAGCTATATTAATTTCTTTTGAAGCACGTTCATTTTCACTGATTAAAATACAACTGATTTTTGAGTGTTGATGTTATAGCCTGTAATTTTCTAAATTTGTTCATTAGCTCTAACAGGGGTTTTTTGGTGAAATTTAGAGATTTTTATATGTAAGGTTGTATCTTCTGTGAACAGAAACATTTTACTTCTTCCTTTCCCATTTGTATGTCTTTTATTTCTTTTTATCTATTTGTACAGGCTAGAATTTCCAATCTTATGTTGATTAGAAGTAGAGAAAGTGAGTACCTTTGTCTTGTTCCTGTTCTTAAGGAAAAGCCTTTGGCCTTTCACTATTGAGTATGATATTAGCTCTAGGTTTTTCATAAATAAATAGCTTTCATCAGCTTGAGGGAGTTTCTTCTATTGGCTGTTTTTGTCATGAACGGGAGTTGAATTCTGTGAAATGCCTTTTGTGCATCAGTTGAGATGTTCATGTAAGTTTTTCTTTATTCTGTTAATGTGGTATATCACATTGATTGATTTTCATATGTTGAACAATCTTTGCATCTGGGAATAAATCACACTTGGTCATGTTGTATCCTTTTTAATATTTTGCTGAATTTGGTTTGCTAAAAATTTTTTTGAGGATTTTTGCATCACTGTAAGATGAGAGATATTACCCTGTACTTATTTTCTTATAGTGTCTTAGCAAAGCATTTATATCAGAGTAATGCTGGCTTCATACAACGAGTTAGGAAGTATTCTCTCTTTTCAATTATTTGGAAGAGTTTGCGAAGGTTTGGTAAATAATTTGCCAGGAAAGCCTCTGGTTCAGGTCTTTTCTTTGTTGTGAGTGTTTTGATTACTGATTCGATCTCCTTCCTTATTCCTTGTAGATCTATTCAGATTTTATATTTCTTTATGATTTGACTTGACAGATTGTGTATTTGTCAGAATTTTTCCATTTTGATCTGGGTTATGCATTATGGTTATATACAATTATTCATCGTATTCTCTTAAAATCCTCTTTATTTCCGTACAATCAGTAGGACTGCCCCATTGTTTTTCTTTTCTGATTTTAGCCATTTGAGTCTTCTCCTTTTTTTCCTTAATCTGCCCAATGTTTTGTCGTTTTGTTGACCTTTTCAAGGAAATAACTTTTGGTTTTACTGATTTTCTCTGTTGTTTGGTTGTTCTTTAATTTATGTATCTCTGTTCTCATTTTTCCTATTTACTTCCTTTGGGTTTAGTGTTCTTTTCTTCTTCTAGTTTATTAAGGTGTAGCATGGGGTTATTAATCTGAGAGTCCTCCTTCCTTCCTTCCTTCCTTCCTTCCTTCCTTCCTTCCTTCCTTCCTTCCTTCCTTTGTGTATTGCTTTTTGGCTACAAATCCTTAGCACTGCCTGTGCTGCAACACATAAGTTTGGTATGATCTATTTTTGTTTTCATTTGTCTAAAGATATTTCTACTTTTTCTTGTGAATTCTTAAATATTGGTTGTTTTTATAAGAGTGTATTGTTTAATTTCTATGA